CTTAAACCGAGTGTTGTCTACAAGAATTGATTCCATATATAGAGATTTGTATTTTTCAATATTTTTATGTTATGTATAATATTACATTAAATTCTAACTGACATCTTTAACTGACTGATTGCTGCGAATAATAATCTTCATATGTTCGTCTTTTGCGAATTAGATTAAAATTTAATAAGTATGCTATTTTACCGCAATGAATTCGCCCCCTCGAAATTAATCTGATAAGAGACAATATATTTTGTGTTATAAGTCTGTATACAATTTTACGGTAGCGGGTAAGCAGCATATGAACTTCTGAAGTGCGACTAATACAGGGCTATTTATATCAACCACGAGATAACGGTCTGATTCTAGAGTGCTGCGCAAGGCTTGCGTGAGTGCGACGTTGGCGGGTTGTGGGTGGGTTGTTTCCGTCGCTACATCGATATTACTATCTGACGAAGATGATAGCGTAGCGGTCTCGCATAACGTGTTCTGCAGGGCGCGATTAAGCGACGTGTTTTACGAGTAACGGTATATCGCGCGTGGGAATCGAAACGTGTCGCGCGGGTGATGAATTCCCGGGGGTGTCCCTGCAGAAATTATTCTTCCGTTGTTGACAAGATCAATGGCCGAAATCTCGGCGGACGGGTTTTTTGACGGTGATCGAGGCGTTGCGCGACGCGAGTACGTCGTTGTCGTCGTTGGGACTCGCGAGCGGGAATGTCATGTTTATTTTCACACGACGCGTGTTCGCGGTTTTGAAGAATCTGGTCGATTAGCAATTGCATGAGATACGTACATTTGCATGAGGAACGCGGCTTCAGGTAATATCGGTCTTCGTATTTTACATGTCGATCATCGTAAAGATTACAGCGTAAAATTTCGCGAATGTCTACCGCGAAGTACATGCTGAGAGAACAATTTTTGGTATTTATAACTGTAATTATTACTTGCATATAGTAAAATAAATCAATTAGCAGACAATTATTTGACCCAATTATTTGACAAAATAACAAAAACTTTAAATATTAAGCTTCTCAAGTTGATTTGAAGTCGGTTGATTTTTAGGACCATATGATTTGATACTTACTAGATTTTCTATAATATTGATCTTCGAAAGAAACTTGACGCAGCGTTGATAAAATGTCAATCTTCTTCGAAGATTAATAGAAAATGTAGTCGATATCAAATCAAACGGTCCAAAAAATCAATCGAATCGATTTGATTTCGACTTATGAAATAGGATTTTAACAGCTCTATAAAGCTAGCAGGACCAAATCAGCAGAATCAAATCGGACCTATCGAAATTTTTAGTACTCATTTTGTACTAAATTGTACCATTAATGATAATTTTGTACCGTGTGCCATTTCGAAAAAAATCGTGGCGCTGGCTTAATATTAAACTAGTAGGACCAATTTAAAATAAAAGATAAAAAGAAAAATAAAATATCAGAAATCGATACGATTGAATTTGTACTATTTTGTACTGCCAAAAATAATTCTATATTATGTCATTTCCAAGAAAACAATGACGTTGATAATATTTAAGCTGACACACCACAAAAAAAAAACAAAATGAGGGAAAAAATTAACACAACTGAATTTGTACTAATTTGTACCATTGAAAGTAAGTTAATATGTTACATGTTTTCTCCTTAAAATGACTTTATTAATGTATACTTGCAATCTATTCTACGTCAAACCGTGTATCTTTGAAACATCATTTTATTTTTTTTAATTTGCTAACATACTCTACACATAACATATTCTACAGATAATAATAAGACACGTTTGTAAAATTCACTAGTGGCTCGCAAATTACAAATATAATAAATAAAGAGCATTCAGCCACGCGCAAGTTTTTTGCGAATGTTCTATATTTAAAATTCGCAGTCACACACGCATAAGATTAAAAGAATTGAAATAAAAAACGATCAATGATTCTTAGTATATCATAAGATTAAAAGAATAAATTAACATTAAATTTTTGTTCGAATTACAATCTACGCTTGTATATGTTGCCGAAAAATCTTTGCTTCTATTCTTCCTAATGAGACTTTTATGTTAAAAAGTTGTGGGAAACACCAAATTTTCAGATTCTGTGTTTGTCACAATGATCATTATTTTCTCCATCAATATTGAGATTGTAATCATTGATCGTTTATTTATTTCAATTCTTTTAATCTTATGACTGCGAATTATTTTTATATTATTTATATCGTACTCTCTGAAGATGGCTTGATATAGGCCAAAACATCTATAATTTGTTCATGTAAAACGTAAGAATTTTAAATATATAATATTCGCAAAAAACACCTTGCGCGTGACTGAATGCTCTTTATTTTTTATGTTTGTAATAAGACACGTGTTTCGTGAGAAAAATGTGAGATTTTTTTGTAAAGTTATTGGCGCTTGTAAGTTGCACAAATTTATAAAAAACGTCACTCATGAAATATTCAAATTATTATATCGTCGAAATAATTAGTCGTACAAAAAAAATGTAAGATTTTCCGAGATTAAAAGTCCGATTGTAAAGATCTTAATTTGATCTATGATTGTGGATTATTATTTATTATTTTCATATAAATAAATCATTTTCCATTTGTTTACAATTTTTATGAACATTTTTCATCATCAATTTAAAAGTTTTGTGAAAATATCATATTCCCATTTCAATTATGAAGTAACTGAAAATTTCAAAATGGAACTCGAATGGACTGTATAGTTAAAAAATTCGAGTTCTATTTTGAAATTTTCAGTTATTTCATAATTGAAATAGGAATATGATATTTTTATAAAATTTTTTAATTGATGAATTGATGATGAAAAACATTCATAAAAATTGTAAACAAATGGAAACTGATTTATTTATATAAAAATAATAAATTAAAAATAATCCACACACACACAATCATAGATCAATTTAATATCTTTAGAGTCAGACTTTTAATCTCGGAAAATCTTACGTATTTTTTTATACGACTAATTATTTCGACGCTATAATAATTTGAATGTTCCATGAGCGACGTTTTTTATAAATTTATGCAACTTACAAGTATCAATAACTTGACAAAAAAATTTCACATTTTTCTCACGAAACACGTGTCTTATTATTATCTGTAGAATATGTTATGTGTAGAATATGTTAGCAAACTAAAAAAAAAAATAAAATGATGTTTCAAAGGTGCACGGTTTGACGTAGAATAGATTGCAAGTATACACTAATAAAGTCATTTTAAGGAGAAAACATGTAAAATATTAATTTACTTTCAATGGTACAAATTAGTATACAAATTCAGTTGTGTTAATTTTTTCCCTCATTTTGTTTTTTTTATGGTCCTGCCAGCTTAAATATTATCAACGTCATTGTTTTCTTGGAAATGACATAATATAGAATTGTTTTTGGCAGTACAAAATAGTACAAATTCAATCGTATTAATTTCTGATATTATTTTTCTTTTTACCTTTTATTTTAAATTGATCCTACTAGCTTAATATTAAGCCAGCAGCGCCATTATTTTTTTCGAAATGGCACACGGTACAAAATTATCATTAATGGTACAATTTAACAAAAAATGAGTACTAAAAGTTTCGATAGGTCCGATTTGATTCTGCTGATTTGGTCCTGCTACACGGAGAAAATTTTATATTAAGTTTCAATACAATTTTAAATTACACTTTACTATGTCTTGTATTTTCGATGGACTCTCACAACATGATCCCGACTTAACTTTTACTATGGTAATACTAATTTTTATCACATAAATAAAGTAATTATTTTGTTAAGCCGTATTCTAACATGAAAACAGTTAATTTTTACTATGGTACGCAAACAAAATTTGCTAGGTATATTTGATTTTGTAATAAAAAATTTTTAGTATGAGAAAGTGTAAAAATTACGTTATATTATTGTTTTTAAAAAAATAACTATAGCATTTAAACTTATAATTTACATGAAGACCACAGCTACTACCACATTATAGTAATTTAAAATATAAAATTTTGCCCGTGTAGCTTTATAGAGATGATTTTAACGACATATACAACTCTAAATAAATTCAGTGTTTATAAAAATATAATAAAAGACAAATTTATTTAGAATCGTATATATTATCGAAAGTTTAATTAACCTTCGAATATTACACTTATTTTTGGTACCTTTGGACGACACACATGAGTCATTCGTGTCCGACTGGATTTTAAGGCTGTTAAAGTGCTCGAAAAATTCTGTAAAAATTCACACATATTCTTTAAGGTCTCTACTAAATTATTTTACTATGCAAACATTGGAAAAAATGTTTAGAAAAATTATGAAAATTACTTTCTGCATCAGAAAAAGAAGATAATTCAGTTTTGATATAAAAATTGTAACTTTGATTTTTGAAGAAAAAAGCAGTTTTTGATTTTATTAAAGTACAAAAATGATTATTTTTAATACATGGACACGAGAAAGATCCATGTGTGACGTTCGAGGGTTAAAAATGTTTGTCATTTCCTTCAACAATTGTGTCATGTCTACTAACTATTCACTAACTAGATCATTTATCTTATGTATTTTTCTCTGCGTATGCAATGAGAATTTTCCACCGACCCAGCTAATTACGATAACACATTGACTGCGTCACGTAATTGCAGTGCACCGCTACTAGCACGACGGGAAAGATCGCGTTATCCATGATCGACCTTAGACTCAGCGCGCTTCGCCCTAGTTGACGCGAGGGAGTGGTGTAAAACTTTTATTTCGACGGATCTCTCAACTACCAGCTGTGCAAGAAGAGCTTTTTCGTTTTACGTTGCGCGACCGGCCGATAAACCTCGCCTCGCAAGCACGTCGTAATATTCCTCTAAGTGATTACCCCGTCCGAATTCTCGCGTGTCTGCATGTCGCGGCACTCGATGCTTTTATGATAAAAGGGGGTACGTAAAGAGCACGGGATGCTACGTCGCGACGTAGCACGCCGGCAAAATCGTGAGTTAATCTTCGCGAGAGAGATAAGGTTTTTCTTCGTTTTCAGGCTGTGCGTTCCTCACCTACTACAGCCGTGACAGCGCAATCAGCGCCCAGAACGCTCTGCATGAGAAGCGGACTTTACCAGGGGTGAGTGTTTACAACGTTTACTGCAAGCAGTTTACCTACTTTTCAACCAATTACGCTCCATTAATGCCACTTCATTCCAAGTCGAGCCCACTCCACCGCGAAAATCTTATCTCGGTCTCGCTTAATAAGCGCTCTCTCGTTAGTCAAGCCGTACTGTGCGAGTGTGCGCCTATACCACCGGGGACGTAACTTTGAAGGGGCAATGTATTTTTCTTAATCGCAAAGTTCCATCGACGTGCAGCGTATGCGCGACGTTTTTCCGAATACGGGAATATGTAACCCAAAATTGTTTGGCATTACGAATACCCCGATACGCGTGAATTAGCTGGCGGGAGACGCAGACGCTGCGTTCGTTTTGCAGAGCGAGACCGTTGGAGCGGCTCCAAGTTTGCGGGCGAGACTTCGAAATATCGATTTATTTAGTCTCCGATTTCCGTCTATACCTCATGGAACGGCCATTGAGCGTACGCGCGGCGGATGTTGTAATTTTTAATCGAAATGCGTTCGCGTGTCCAAAAAGGACACGCGCGACAGTAACGGATACTTATCGCCGTATGCCGTTTCTCCGACTAATTTTGGCGATTCGCCGTCCACGATTTGGGATATTAAAATGGCTCGTGACGTGACGAGTTAATCTCTTAACGCCGAGAGCCCGTTTAGGAAGGAAGAGAGAGACGATCCGAGTAAAGGAAAGCAGCGCGATCGCGGGGGTGGCACTGACGCGGCGAGTCCGCGATGTATCATCGGACTTTCTGTGAGGAATTCTCTGCAAATGCCAGGACCGGATAAGCGCATTCTTATACCCCTTTCCTGGTAGCATGAAAATTTTGCATGTCTCTTCTATGGGAGGACTCGGAGGATGCACATCCTCTGGCATTTACTTGAATCGCAAATGCAGCGAATGAAGAAAGTCGGAGCACAAAGAAGGGCTAAAGAAACGGTGCTTTATAATCGTAGGGTCCGAATACACGGCGTGAATAGTTTTTCTCTTTTCTTTCCCTCGCCATATTTATGGCGAGTAATGTCATAAATAACACTGGACATACACCGTTATCCCCGGCGTCTGAGTTGCTAACTCGACGTAGCTCTCCCTCGTACAATGTTCGAAAGTTACGATATCTCCGGGAGGTTCGAGATATTTTCACCGGACATTTATCGCGTCCGTAGCACGTGATACTCGACTTCTCGTATATATCGACGTCCTGCTTTGTTCGCGTCAAGCGATTACATCTCACATTGAGATATACTTTTCATAGTTAAATCCCTCTTCTCGCCGTTGCATAAAGTCTCTCGAAGGCCTGGGTTGCCGGAACTCCTGAAATTTTCCATCGATCGTGGCCCCGGAGGCCAAGCCGCGGCATTGCCGGCACTGAATGCTGCTTAACTGCCAGAGCGGTGCCAACACGCCCCTTCCCATTATCTGAGCTACCCCTTGGAAGTCCGTAGCGAGTACTGGCGTTATGTTTCGTTAATCTATCCCCGAAACAACGCTGCTACGGTCTTGGCACGGCTGCCAGCGGAAATCGTTTTAAATGTTATGCCGAGGGATGCACGCCGGGAGGGAGGGTACGGGTTGAGTTATGACTTTATGAAGAGGCGGACGCACGTACGCGCGTACGCCGACGGGTTTTTTTTTTTTCTTCTTTTGCATGCACGCGGTTTCCGCGTGTTGGCCGGCCGCGAGATATATCTGAAAAAAATCTGCACGTCCGATTCCCGTGATATATGCGTCGCGGCGAAACCGCTCCGTCCGAAATTGCGCGGTTTAGTCCACAATCCGACGACAGAAATATATATCGTTTTTTTGTCGTGTTAACTTGGAACTCTGACCGATAGTTAGGGATTTTTGCAGTGCCACGGTACGCATTCGAAAACGGTGTCTTTCAATTAAAATTAGTTAAAATAGCTTTTCGAAAATTCGCTTTATTTAATCACATTTCTTTTTGACACAATGATGTTGCGAAATGATATTTTTATTTATGACTCCCGGAGGAATGATTGATCCGCAGTCATTTGGGTTTAACAAATCCATGAAGCTCAATAAAAATCCCCGGATATTCACACACATTTACATATCGTAAACATTGATGTACATATAGGGTAACTCTAGTATATACGCCGCGCTGGGGTTTACGCCGCAGAAGTCAGAAAAAATAAAACGAGTAGGGGTAATTTTCTCGCAACTACTCTGTTACATGCCTTTACGTTATATTAGTATTGCGTTATAATTTCAGCTTCTTACTGTTAATATTAATGAAATTATTGTGAGTTGAATCGATTTGTCACTGTGTGTGTAACAAGTAGCATCATCAGAAATTATAATCTACATAAAATGATTACTGTAAGGCGTGTAAAAGACCTAGTGGTTATTTCGTGATACATACGTGTAGAGGAATAGTAAAGCATGTTGTATATAGCAAAATACAAGTGCTTTGCTTTCGTACTCTTTGTTTAGTTTGTTGAAACCCTTGCATTTTTGCCATATATCCCACCCATTATCTATATATAGCAAAAATGTAAGATTTCAAAAAGTTTATTTTTTAATATGAGAACTAAATATTTCGGATTTCTAATATTTTTTTCATAGTAGTAGACAGTACAAAGTTTTTACTGATATAGTTAATTATTTTAAACATAGTAAATAATACTTAATAAATTGAGTTTTTGATAGGTGCGGCGTATATACCGGAGTTCCCTATGTTTTTATGATTAAATATTTGAGGAAAATTGAAGACAAAACACAATCTAATTTAATACACGGAAAGAATTTTTTTTAATTTATCCTGAAAATATAGTAGTTGTGATACAATACAATATTTTAAAGATTTTTACCATACACTTCAGTAAAATTAATTAAACTTATTTTATATTTTATTATAGTTTTACTAATGGAAGAGAAATTTACGTTAAATTCTTCGAAATACAATATTGCCCCAGGGCTACTATACACTGTAAAAAGAAATGTGTTTTATTCTTGTTTCCAATCTTTAAGTGATTAAAAAATGGAGATAAGAATAAAACATTTTAATATCTTAAAATTAAACACTTTTTTTTTCAGTGTATTTTCGAGGTAAATTCTAAGAAAAAAATTCTCCCCGTGTAATAATATAAAGATAAAAAGTAAGAATAAGAACAAGACGCATATAGATACATTTCATATATATAACACAGGATAAAATGAAAATTAAACTCTCATTTTATTTATATCTATTTTATACATTTTGATTTATATTAATTTAACTCTTCTGTCAATGCATAATTTTTTAATTTTTATCGTGTTTCCCAAGATTTCTGTTAAAAAAGTAAAAGTTAAAATAAGATAAAATCTATGATAAAATTCCTTATTCAAAAAGTCAATTTTTCGCGTCATAGCGAAATTGGCACAAAATTATAAAAATGTTTACTTTACTGTTTAAAGATATGGATACCAATGCATTGAAGGATTAAAGAAGTACAATATATTTGACAAAATAAGATTTAAAACTTGTTAGAAGCATCATACAAACTTTGCTTTCTGATACTAACTAGCGCATGTATGAACAGCTGCCTTTGACTGTCATGTCATTGATATATATTCATCCTTCTGTCGCAGTGTCTTGATAAGATAGGGGCAACCAAAATGATATTTAAACAGATGTTCGTCAGAGGCTTGCGGATTTCACTTTGATCAACGCATCGAGTCTAGCCTCTCTCAGTTTTCGCTATACATTACACTAATTCGAGCTCATCGCGAGCTTGTAGAGATTGCAATCTCAGCGTGAAGTTGCATAAAGTTACGTAACGTCGCGCTATGTATGCATAAGTCGCGTCGGCCCGATCACATTAAAACACTTGGGCCGAGAACGCGACGGTTATGCAAATCTTAATCTAGCGCTTATATTCACCAGGACGGTTTTACGAGCCGGTTCCACGAGGATAGCGGAGCTATCCTCCGAGATGTCGATTTCATTCATTGGTACCGTCTCCTGTAAACGCGACTAAACACTCGGCGTCGGCGAATATGTACGTGCATTTACGATGCCATGCGCTCGTTTGCTGATCGGACCTAGTTGGAGTCGTAATACATCCGAATACACCTGAGGCTATAACTCGGGCCGAGCAACGCGGACCCTTCATAAACACAGATCCCGAAGCCAAGCAGCGCCGCTGCGCAAGCAATAACAATGCTGTCGGCCAACGTCGTCTATACTTAGCTCGCGCTCACTGCGGAAGCGATCGTTGCACGTGCGCACGCGCCCGTTCACGCGCACGCGAGGAA